GTATGAAAGTCCTTTTTTGTTGATATCAAATAGCTATGAAAACTGTTTACACTTTTAATCTCCTGATACATTTGACAACTTAAGTGTTCCAAAATTTATTTAACAATAAGAAATAATTTATTTTTTGTTGTTATGTTATTTTTTTCTTACAAATTTTATTACAATTAAATGAATATTATTGATTGTATTAGTTATTTCCATACGGCAATATACTATCTGAATTATTTACTAATTAATCACAAGAAAAGAATTATTATTAAACAGATGTTAAGTATGTGCTCTTAAACATTTATTGATAAAAAAATGTTCTTTTGATATGTAGATTACTATGGTCAGCTACACAATATAATAACAATATTGTGTAGTTGACTCATAATACATATCAAATCACTTGGTTCTAAAGTGTTGTGTCAATGATGCAGAGGTAATCACAGTTACCTCTACATCCAGTGATGCAACACTTCAGAACCAATTTTAATTAATCTTACTAAATTTGTTTTAAGTAAATTTAGTGTACATTAAATATAATTTAAGTTTGTCACATTAAATTAAAATTGATCAAATTTTCTTTTTAATGCTTCCTTTTACAAATCAATTTTAAAAAAACTTACCTACAGTTTTTTTGAAACCTGTATGATTACTTGGCATGTCAGTATTGTAGGCCATAATGTTAAATCAATTTTTTTTTTTTTTTTGTTATAATTTATATGGAAAAAAAATTTGTAGGTTTCAAAATTTTATCAACATTTTTTGATAAAATTTGCAAATAACAAACTGTTTTTCTTACAGCTGGTGATTGGACGTTAATTGATGATTGCTATATTTCTGGTTGTTCACAAAAAGAAAAAGATGCCATGCTAAGCTTTATGTTGTCATTGTCTTTAAAAAAAAGTTTTTTTATTCGAAAATCAATTAAAAGTTTACATGTGTCAGATTTGGTGAGAAACATTTTAAATTTTTGTCACTATTTTAAATATGAAAAAATATTATCAACTTACTATATACTTGTTTTAAAACTAGAATAAAAGCATTGCTACAAATGTTGCAAAAAGGTAGTATTTACTACACATATAACTATTTGATCATTCCTAATGTAAGTTCGAAATGTCTTAAATTATCTCAAAATATTTGATTATTTATAAGTTTTTATCTTGACAAATTAATTTATATTATTAGATCATTTATAATAAGACAATGAAGAAGGTCCTAAATTCTATGTATTCTCAAATTTTTTGAATCTTTAAATGGTAAATTCTGAACTCTTTAAATGGTAAATTCTATAAACTCTTTAAATTTTTAAATTCTGCATTGTTTATTATCATTATTTCTAGATTGTTGAAACACTTTTAAATTAATTATGATTAGCAACAAGATAATTGAGGTTTCTAGGTAACCAATTATATTAATTTCAATAAAACTTTAAAATAAGTGAAATGTTTTCATATTAATTTTACTTGTTTGAATTGATGATACCTGCTACCTGTTGACACCTGCTGCTACCTGTTGTTATTATTTAAAACTCAAAATTTTCTAAACTTGTTTAATGAGTTTTTTTTTTCTTGGGATCAGAATAGAAGTAATACACAGAATAGAAGTAAAACGCAGCTGCTGCAAACAAATTTCAATAATTTTACTAGGCATTTAAAACTTTAAGATTGATATCTTATGTCTGTAAGTAGACTAAAAAAATGCCAAATAATTTTTGTACTTTTAAATTTACATAAATTTAAAAAATTATTATAAATTATATTTATGCTACTGCACCGATTGAACCAAGATTTTTCTGTTTTGACTAAAATATTTTACTATTTGTTTTTAGTAAATAACTTTAAAAAAAGAACTTATAATTATGATGCGCTTTGATTGGATTATTAATATTATTTCTCCACCTGTTGTTTTAATAATTTAGTTTTATAGATTATTAGATTATGTAATCTTCTATTTTTATTGGTCTACCAATCGTCTATTTGCTTGTAATTATTCAATAGTGAATAAATATTCAGATAATATTTTTCAAATGTGTAAAAAAAATTTGTCTAAAAGTTATAAATTAATTTGTCAAGATAAAAAGTTATAAATAATTAAATATTTTGAGATAATTTAAAATAAAAAATTGTTGTAAATTGTATGCCAATGATATAAAAATAATATTTTGGTGATTTCAAATAACAAGTAAACTGTGTATTGCAAGAAAATTTATTAAACTACATGAAGTGAAAAATGGTTATTACACTTTAACAAAGAAAAATGTAAAATTATGCATACATAGTTATGTATATAGGAAAAAAAAATCCATTCTATAATTGTTATTATAGTCAACTAATAGGCAATGAAAATTAGTATACTAAATAAAAAACATATTTGGAACAATATTTTGATGGCAAAACCATGAAAATAGGATTTAGATGGTTTTGCAAAAAAAGCAAACAGAATATTAGGTCAAATAAAGTATTGCTTTAAAAAGGGTAGGGTGTGGTAATGTTGTTCTATGTAGTAGTGTGGGTCTAATCAACATTGATCAGTTTTTCAGAAGAAAGGCTTTAGGTAAAAGCTTTTTTTTCTGTATGTTAAAGGTGGTTAAAACAGCACTCTAATTTTAATTATCAGCTTATTACGCAAATTCTTAGGTATATTTTTTATTCAAAATGGAGCATACATTTAAACAAAGATTTTCATCGAAAACAATAAACTTCATAAAAAAGGGTCTAACACATTAGTTTTAAGACGGAATTGTTTTTTGTATTTCTAATTAAGCGCTTTGAACAAGTAAATTTCTTTTTTAAAATATCGAAGTTTTATTAAATTTTATTAGGTTTAAAATTTTGATCAAATAATTTAAATTTAATATTCAATGACTTCACTCATATTTTGCTATAAATTCAATGACTTCACTCATATTTTGCTATAAATTCAATGACTTCACTCATATTTTGCTATAAATTCAATGACTTCCCAAGCAGCGCAACTTAGTTGGCCCAACGTATTTCTGATTGTTGGGCCAACGAGGCATTTTGGTAGGCAGTAAGTTGGCGTCGTACTGGCATATGATTGGCTGCCCATCGTGCCTACGTTGGCGTAACATACACTTAATATTGTTGGTGCAACGTTGGCCCACTTATGGTTTTAAGTTGTTGGTGCAACGCTGGCCGAACCAAGTAAAACAGTTGGCGACACGTTGGCATAACGCATTTCGTATAATGTTGACTTTACATTGGCGCACCGTTGGTATGGGTTTGTAGGGGCTATGTTGTGTATACTCAATGTTGGCACACTGTTAGTTTTATATTGTATTCGCATTTGTGCATTTTATTAACGTTGGCCTAAGACTTCAAGCATTGTTTCCAACAATATTAGCAACGCGTTGTGTGATGACTGGGATGATTTGATACTCATTGAACTAACGTTATTATGAAAGTTGAAAATGTAAAAGTATTTAAAGTTACATAAAAGTATTAAAGATAATAAATTTGTTGGTTTCTAGTTAAGTTTTTATTCGTTACAAAATAATTTAAACTATTACACACATACAAAAAAATCATAAATTATATATAAAAGTATATAACTAAAATCGTTAAAATGATGTTTCTTCTCATCCCTCCACACGAATTTCGCGAATCGAAGCCATGCTTTACTGGCACAAGCAACCTTGCATCCGTACCGCGACATGTTATAGGATTACGCCGAACAGCATCTAAATAAAATAAATATGTATTATGCATACACACTTATAAGTATTAACTATTAACTCATTTACTTTCATTTATATAAAACGATGAAAATTATAAGTAAATATTTTTTAATAAAAAAAACATCAATAGTAAGATAAAATAATGACATTTTAAAACAAAAAAATTACACTATTGACAAAGCTTGCTATTGCTAAAGGCATATTTCCCCTCCCAATTACTAACTACTTCTATGTTGTTTGATATTAACCGCCTAATAACATTTTTAGTTGATTCAGTGTTTTTCCACCACACCAAGGTTGGCAAAAACCCAGATTTTTAAAAAAAAAACTGGTTTAGTGGGGTTTTTTTTGGGTAACTTAGGGTTTTATTGGGTAAACTTGGGTTTTTTTGGGTTTTATTTTTATTTCGTCTGTGTAAAAATTTTTTTTCAATGATATTGAAAAAAAAAAAAAAAAACTAATTGAAATTTTCTACTTTAATTTTATTTAAAGTATATTTATATGTTATTTAATAGTTCATAAGAACTTTTCAAATTAATTTGAAAAAGATTTTTAAATACAATTTAAAACTATAATAGAAAAAAAAATACTTTGCGTTAAATCTATATGTATTGGTTTAATTTAAATTTAAAAGTATTATTCTATGTAATTAAAAATGTCAATGAGAAATGGGAAAAAGAAGGCTATAGAATAGGAGGTAGTAACTAAAGTTTCAATTAAAATTTGAACTTGAAATTTAAATGAACAAACTTGTTTCTTTGCGCAATGGCCTTGTTTATAAAAAATTGTGTTGAGGAGTTAAAGAGTTGAAAGAGGATTGTAACCACAAGGTAGCTTCCTCGACTGTAGTGGCTTTCTCTGGCCACTAATACTCATTTAAATTCACCTAGGGAGGTGAATAACATAAAAGATTAAAAAATCTCAACTGATAAAAATATTTTAATAAAAATTGTTATAATGTATTTCCAAGTAATGATTCAAATATTATTCTGATAGCTGTTATTGTTGGTTTTAATAGTTAATAATATTAGTTAATAATAATTTAGTTAATAATAATAACTAATAATTATGTTAGTTAATAATATTATAGTTAATAATGTTAAAGTTGGTTATAACAGTTCATAAACTTATTAAATATCTTTAAAAAACTTAATAACACTCAGATTTATCCGGGTTTTATTGGGTTTTTTTAGGCGGGTTTTTTTGGGCGAGTTTTTTAAGCAGTTTTTTTAATGCCAAACCTGCGCCACACTGACCTAAATAACTAAAGGGACTAAAAAAGGTCTAAAAAGAAAAAAACAATTTTAAAAGATATTATTTACTATGTAATAAATTTAAAGTAACTTGAATAAGGTAACTAAACAATTATAACAAATATCTTACAAACTATCCTTGGTGGTCATTGTTAAGGCAATCTGTTTCTAGTTTTTGTAAATGTTCCATTGATGAAACAGGAAGCCCAAACTCATCAAAACTTGTTTCTAAATTACCACACTGCTGTTGTGCTGATAATTGTTGCAGAAGAAAAATTATAGTTTGATTTTTTTGTTTAATCTCTTCTAATAATATTAGTTTTTGATGATCATTTCCTAAATGCGAAGAAAAATAAAATAAATATATATATTTTAAACACGCATAATAATACTTTAATAAAAATAATAGTAATAATAGTATGAAAATATTTTCTATATATATTAAGTTCATATGAACAAACAAATTCATCATTTGCTAATGCATAAATAAATGTAACACACCTCCAACATGACAATTGACCAAATCAGGTGATAACTGCTCTACTTGCAGTGCTATAGTAACTGCTCTACTTGCAGTGCTATATATTAACTGGCGTTAATATTGATAATGGTAGTGCAGTTTGGTTGTCTATTTAAATATTTAAGCTTATTTTTACAAGCACACATATACAAACAGACAGTTTGCAAACCATAATTTAAACTTTAAAAATTGTCATTAAAAACCATAATTTAAAAGTTAAAAAAAAAAGTGTTGACCAACCTTTTTTACTAAAAGATAAATCGTTTAAAAATAATGGCGAGAGAGAGAGCAGATAGTAGATGATGCATTTTGAATTTCTATGAATAATAATGCATTATAAACATATTTGTAACATCAAATATTTTTCAAAACAAAATATAGTATAATATAAAAACATATTTTATTTTTTTAAATGTCATTAATGGCCAATTATAATCATTAATGTTAAGAATGTTGATAGATCATTAATGATCTGTA